GTGTTCAAAGAAGAATGACAACACTGTAGATCACCAACACTATGGTTTATTTTTTATTCACAGGCAAGTCAACGTTGTCGCAGTAAAAGTCCCAAGATAGCTCCTGGTGCAATAAAATGTTCCCTTTCAGTGTTTTACTATTATGTCTGATGTTTCTCTATTAATATTGCTGCTGCATTAATGTGTATGTTGCATCATGTTACTGCTGTAGATGTGTTTCCGAGCCGCTCCGATTACAACGAGAGTTACAACGAGAACGTGACGTCATATTTACACTAGACGGATCCTTTCTAGCCATAACCGCATGAAGTTGCCGTGAAGTTGTTTGCGGCCTGCCAGTAAACCCAAAGCAGAAGAAGAAGAAGTGACGTCAGCGGTTTAATTTGCGTAATTTTATTCTAATCTAATTATCACTCAAAAGGCCTCTTCTTGGGGGTGTTTGTACATTTTGGGCTACTGTAGAAACAAGGTGGTGCAACGTTGTGGATTTACTAAATAGGAACTGCTGCCTATGCATATTAGAAAAGCAAATTGTCAGCATACAAAAATGCACAATACCTAGTTTAAGGTGATTTTACAGTAATGAAAACTTAGTTATGAATATAATGTTGCTTTTCTGTCAATAGTAAAGTAAAGGATCTGAAATCTTCTACCACTGCAAACAATCTGCCTTCCTTTTTCTGTTATCTATCTCAACTCTAACTATTCCATCGAGTCTGACACTAGGACTCACAGACAGATGTTAGTGCTTAGTCATGCTATCAGTTACAGCTGCATAAGATACAGAGCATGGACGCTGCAACAGTTTGCATCATTTCTCAGTTACTTCCTCTTTTCTGACGGGGAACACAAACTTTGTAGAAGAGTAAAATAACAGTGACTAATCGAAATTTAAGGCAAATAATAGCTTATTTCCTGATGTTTTTATACACATGAATTAACCACAATGTAATGGATGATGCAGCTTGAGTTGAAAATGTTTGGTTTTGAAAAGCAGAGTTTCTGATAATATATCCTTATAGATCAGAACTCACTTACCAGTCACCGGTTCTGTCACACGTTTCTTCTTTATCAGACTTATGCATCTTTTGCGTAGAGATGTAACGTGTAATATCAAACAGTTTCCCAGGTACAGAGCTGCTGTTCTCTTTCAAACATGATATTCAAAACAAGTAATAATACTTTGGAGATATTCCTGCAAAAAGAAGGGAGTCCAATCCATTCAGGAAGGTTGCTGGCCTGCACTGTAAAATAACCCCTTCTTGTGCAACTGCACCCAATTGAGGATTGTTTTCTACACTCAGTTTGAAGTTTTGCAATCTTAAAATCTTTTATTACATCTGCATTGACATAAAGTTGCTGTGGCCGCATTCTGAGTCTCCAAATAATTCACATACTTCCACTCCCTATTTATTTCACAATCTGTTGGCAAATAAATAAATGATAGACAAATGTGAGGTCGTGATGGTTTCAAACTACTCTTGGTTTAGCATGTAGTGTAAGTTACAGAGAAAAGGGAACTACCAGTTACACACCCTGAGGGACACAATGTGCCATATGCAACCGCTGTAGCAGTCAAACTGGAAAATGTATATATATTCCTTCCGTAGCAAATAGGGAAAAACAGCTCCAATCCCAAAGAAAAGGAGTGAATGTGTCAAATATTATTGTTGGCACAGAGCAGCATCATTTCTGGTAAACGTATCAAACTCCTGTGTCCAAGCCCCTTTACTTCAGAACAAAAGAATTCAGCAAACTCACAGAGGAGAGAGAGTATCAGTTTCAGTATCTGCTGTCCTTTCACATGCATGGACCTGAGAGGACCGGCTGCATACCAAACATTTTAGGAGGTTTGCTGGGTAAAAAATAAATGTTTCTTGTGAGCTTATACTTCCCCCAGCCCTGTGTGAGTTATGGCTGCAAAAGGGTGCAGGTACTTAAAGCTGAAACACATACACACAAAGAGACACGTTTTAAAGTGAGTTTTTGTGTGGGGTCACACTGAACAGAGACAGGTCCTGAATTACACTCTGCTGCACACACATACTTATCATGCAAAGCACAAAGAAGGGAAATGAGAGGAAAATAAGGAGTTGAAGTGAAAACATTCAAGAAACAGGAATTGTCTTACCTTCAAATGTAGGTCAAATGTTCCTCCAGAGAGATCAGCGCAGGTTTAGTCCATAGCTTGGGAATGGAGAAGCAGAGAGCCAACAGCCATACTCAGGAAGAGCCCTCCTATCTGTCTGTCATACCTTCACACACTGCCAGCTCCTCCTTTTTCTTCCCCTTTTATTCTCATTTCTCCACTTTCTGCTCTGACATGTTACATCCCCATTGGTTCGTTAAACAGCTATAAACCTTCACTACTGTATGTGCCTTTTCAAACAGCTAACAGTGCTTTCTTGCTTTAAATGATATTACATGTGGGAATCAAATTCTTATTTCAAAATCCAAGCCTAAACTTTATTAATCAGACACTAGTCCATTTCCAAGATCTGGTGTTAAAAGTAGATACTTCTATCATCTGTGCAAATACCACATGTAACGGGCTGCTTGCATGCTTAATGGTTATGTTGTGGTTCTTCTGTCTGTTTTATGTGTTAAACAGGAAATGTGAATAATGATAACTTCCTCATCTCTATCTGCACTTTCTATTCATTCAGTTGTGGAAAGTCACTAAGTACATCTACTCAATCGAGTCACATTTGAAGTTACTTGAAGTTTATTTGAGTACTTAATACTCGTCCACAAACTACTTTACATTTCAGAGGGGGGAAAGGTGTTGGGGTAGAATTGTATGGCTACTTATATAATATCACCAACGCTGTATGAATGATGAAATCCAAGTAAATACATTGGAACATCGGCAGCTACAAATTCAAAAATGCCAGAAGTGAAGAATAATGGGTCAAAAAATAGATTTTTAACATCAAAAGCTAGTTTTTGCAAAATTGTGCACAAGATTTCAAGTGTCGCTTGTAGACCTGCTGTTTTGACCAATTTCTTCAGTCACTACTTATACAAATATTTGTTTCTTCCAGCTTCTCAAATGTGAAGATTTGTTGTTCTAAGTAAATGGGTTCCAAGACAAAACAAGCAATTTAAATAATGTCAGTTTTGATCATTTTGTAACAAAAAGATGAATCAATAATGGAGAGTGAATGAGAGCTGTACTGCTGTTGGAGCGGGAGCACAGACTTTGTAAGGCCGTTCTTTGGATCAAACTATAGAACCAACAGGAGTGGCAGCTTTTTGCATACTGTATATCATTTGCCTACGAATACATGTGTACAAATAAAGCTTGGCGCCAGCTACAAAGAAAACCAGGCGTTCTAGCATTTGGTTTGAACTCTGACATTCATAAAAGCTGACTGTAATTTGGAGATGAGAAATGCTCAGACAAAGCTCGAGTGTGAGGATGATTGTACAGAAGGTGTGAAAAAGGGAGCTGCAGAAGGAAGCTCGTGAAGTCTGAGCAGTAATCATGTCTCAGTGTTTCAGCTTCATTCAGCCTGTGTACACAGTTTACTCCAACAAGCTGCTGGAAGTAAACTGTTAATGTTGTAGTAGGAAGAGGAGGGATTAGTCATACATGACAGCATCCTCATAGATGTGGAGGTTTGCGACTGACAGCTACAGATCAGCACCTATCTATTTTAAGCTCAACATATAAAAAAGGTGTTAATGCAGATTCTCACGGGTTTTGCAGGACCTTACTTCAACTGAACAGCATGCGGTTCACCTCGGAACAACGTGAAAGACTTTAGAAAACCATTTATTGAACTTTGGAGCGTGATTTCAGAGCCAACATGAAAGAAAAACACATTTTAAAAGATATTTCCTTATGTACTGAAATTGTCCTGTCCAGGTTTATTGTTTCTGTAGCTTGTGCAAATACACTAAGAAAACGATCAAAACAAACCTACATATAAAGTGACAGTTACTCTCTGGCACATCAGATATACCAAGTAAAATAATTCAGAATTTTGTGAAATACTTAAATATAAATGAGAATATTGATATGTGGTATCAACTTAAACAACTTTATTAGCGAATTAAAAGTTTGTCATTGCTACACCGAAGTTCAGATTTAAGGCCTTTTGGGTCAATCTAACGCTTTTACAGGAATAGTCTGCAAGTTGAAATGTTTAACTAAGTAATGAATATCACAAGGACAAGCAGAAATCCTTTAAAAGAGTGAAAGCAGACCCTTCTCCTTCTGACATCTTGCTCAGCGTCGTAGTTAAGGTCATATAGACCAGTCCAATGTTTCCAAAATAGATTGTGATCGGTGCTTTGTATACAGGACAGATGTACAGGCTCACATAAAACATGGCCTAGATCTGCAGTTTCCAAACCTGAAGCTCACATATGCCGGACGATTAGTTTGTCCACAACATAAGCCAAAGTGGGAATAATAATAATAATAATAATAATAAAAAGCTGTCATTCCTGCACTTAGAATCTTACTTTAATTTGAAAGTATTTGCAGCAAAATATACTTAATTTAAGGAAGTATTAAAAGCAAAGTGCCACTACTGCGTGTCATTTTACATTAGTGGAGTGTTATTTCCAATGCATTATCAGTAAAGAGCTTTTAAATGATGAGCTAGTTTACACCTTTTAAACCACGTTTATATAAACATTTAAAACTAGGGCTGCCAAATATGGCTCATTATCGATTCATCTGCAGATTAGTTTCTTGTCTAACTGCTTGCCCGAGGTCCGTGGGTACTACTGCATTTATCAGGAAGTCACTGGTAGGTAAACATACACCTGTTTAGGAATCATTGACCTAGATTGATAGAAGGGAAACATGATTCGTGCTCTTTCAGAGAGCTTCCTGTTAGTGGGAACGCTCTGGCTCTGCCCCCGGACTTTCCAGCAGCCATCAACCTGACGGCCCAGAGAAAGCATATTAACGTTCCTCCTGTTTATCTTCGTCATCCTGAGTAGTGTTCACTGTTAGTTTTGGAAGCTTTTCAGAAATCATTTTGAAGACCAAATCGTGTGCATTTGACCGAATAGACAAGAAAAGCGTACAAATTTAGGAAAAGATCATTTTGTTTAAACACAAAGCAAACATTCATCCATCTGCTTCTCTTTGACAAAAATGTGCTGATGTGAAAGAAAACAAAAAATATATAAAAGCCGTCTATGACAAGAAGTAGTACAACAGGGTATTAAACCGGGAACAAATGAAAGTAGCTCTCTTGAGATTTGGGTACAGCGGAATATATTTGCATCACACGGATGTTTCATATACTTTGGAAAGCAGTCTCTTTAATGAGCGTGTCATCCGCCCACATTCTCTTTCTGTGGAAGCTACATTGAGTTTAGATGGGGAGTGGAGAAGGTAAAGGTGAATATTTAATCTTTCTTCCAGGAGATGAGTCATTTTCCCTCTTTCTAGGGAACACCAATGATGAAGCAGACGTTCACAAAAGGACAAAGCTCAGCCATGTGTCCACTCTGAGAGGCAGCGATATATTCTAGCATGTTCCAGTAGGTTTAACTGCCGCCTACTTCCTCTTCCTGCCCCGGCCCCTCCTGCCCCGGCTCGAGGGGGGCTCTGCTCCGGCCCCTTCTGACGGGCCGGCCCCGATGTTGATCTGTCCCTCCTGGATTTCGCTGCGGGCCTCTGGGGGAAGGTGCTCGATCTGCTGCTGCGCCTCCAGATAGAACATCACGTCCCTCAGCTGCTCCTGCAGCTCTGATATCGCCACGTCCTTACATCCAACTGCAGGGAACACCAGATACAAGACAGATGATAAACATACATTAAATAAGAAAACATGAACTATAACAAGATAAAACTGGAACTCATTTATTGAAAACAAAATGTCTTAACCCTGTAAGGCCCACTGTTGTAACTTCGAGGGCCACATGAGCTGTAGGGCGATAAATCTCATAGTCACCGTATTTAAAAATGACCATTTGAAATAAAAAATGTATATTAAATGAAAGCTTCATTGTATCATAGGGAAGGATCGGTATGGGCTCTGGAGTGTTTAAGGACTTGTCAGTGGATCAGAAACTATAATCAGACTAGTAAAGTTGTTGTCGCAGTTCAAGCCGTTGGCGTGCCGTGGAACAGAGTTCATTTTTTCTTAGCGGAAGAAATACGACAATTTTTAAGTCAATAAAATCACTTCAATTAATATTGGGAGTCAAGTCGTTAGTTTGTTTAGTATCTGGCCGTGTAATACGCGGGATGTGAATGTGCAGCGATTTGGTCATTATGGGGTGAAGAACATTATCCCTTACTAAAAAACTCACTTCCAAAAATATGTAAAATGCTATTAAGTGTATATCCCTCACTGTTGGCATTAAAGGGTGAGGCTGCCAAACAGCTGTGTGCACTTCCTGTCTGAAATAAACATCAGGAGAGTGGTGCAAAGAATGAAGAAACCTCCACAAGATATACTATAATCATCTTAACAATCATAAACAATAAATAAATATGGGATAAATCTAAATGTATCCTTCTGAAACTTCTAAACACCCAGTGGACCTGACAGATGTTACAGTGAAACAGAGCAGAGAGTGTCATGTAGCCCTGAGAGGAGTTATACTTACATCCTGCTGCTGCGCTAACCAAGGTGGTGAAACACTCCGAGTGGCGCAAACAAACACAAAGTGGAAGCTGCTGAGGCAACAACTCGCAGCGTTACAGGCTCCATCCATGTAGCCGGCTGATCATATTTGAAGTGGCAGCTTATTTCAAATGTATTGTGTAAAATTCAGCTTCACTGTAGAGATAGAAATGTGTGTCTGTCCACCACTTAGGTCCGGACTGATATTACTCAACAACTGACATCAGATGGATTGCCAAGACATTTTCAAAATTCTTAAAAAATACATCTTATTAAAAACATGAAATCAATCCTCATCCTATTTTTTTTTACTGCCAAATATCAATATTTTAAATTGGCCTCAAAAATCCAGTTTGTTGGGCTCTTATCGAAACTAACTAACTTAATCAAAGACTGCATTCAAGGATACGAAGTGTTAGCCAAAGTTAAGCTTTGAAGTATGTTAATTAAGAATTTCTAATTACCAAAGGTCATCTCAGTAGATGGGAACGTCTTAATGTCTTCAGAAATACGGCATGGGTTTGTTTAGGCGTGTTTATTTAGCTTGAGTCAACCTAACCAAGTATATATCTAATGCATGAGTGTAACTAATCAATGAACACATGTTCAAGTTACTACAAGTGAACAGGAACCTTGTGGTAGTTTTAGAAATGCCTTTTATATATATATATATATATATATATATATAATCACTAGTGGTTATGTTTTATTGGCGTAACATCATTGCAAAGGGTATGAATTGAACTCAACTCAAAACCCACTCATCAAAACAAGCGAATAAGCCGGTTGTGAATTCACAGGCGATTAGCCATTAAGCATTTTCTATTAGCCGATGTAAGTGTTTCTTTAACTTTGTCCTCCTCATGAATATCATTTCAGCATCAATTTGCTTAGTATTTGCAAATATTAACTTAGAAATGAGGAAGTACTCTGTACCTTCAGGCACGTATGACCTCTGCGCTATGGGAGTACTAACATATCGTAACTCAAACTGAACCAGCATCTCACACATTCCTGTTGATCTGGATTGAGCAGTCTGACTTTAATTATGGTTATTCAAATCTTGTAAATATTTGGAAGCAACTGACACAATAATGTCTGTAGAGATTTCATGTTCTTTGTATTTACTCATATAAAATAGAAATGACATAAAAAACAATATTTGCTACTGATTTAGTTTTCCTGCTCTAAAATGTTTATATTGGTAGACTGAGGTATCAAACCTTTTTTAATCCCCACCATGTTCAACAGTGATACATGTGTGTATACATGTGTGTATACCAGCATGCTGCAGTCCAGTTTGGTGTGGGAGGCCACGCCCCTTTGTGTGGGGATGTTGATTAGCAACACAGATAAAAACCAGGGCCATCATTACATTACATGTCACTTGTTAGACGCTTTTATCCAAAGCGACTCACATACATTCAGTACTGTGGGTCTTCCCCAGGGACACAAAGACATGCTGACTGCAGTGGGACTCGAACTTGCTACCCTCTGATTCAAAGTCCAGCACAGTAAATTCAGCGCACAATCCCACTGAGCCACAGCCTCCCCATCAGAGGATACAGCCCTCTGTTACGGCCAAATGCCACACCTTGTGTTATGTTAACTAAAACAATAAATATATATGTGTGTGCAGGCTCCATGATTCAGATCAGCAATGTGTTGTTCCTTTGGCCCATGATACACCCTTCCATAGTGTCATGGTAATTGGGCCTGTAGTTTCCCCCTGACACTTCAGACTCAGGAACCCTCCTACCTTCTCAGAGGTATTTGGATGCTCCCGACATGATAATTGTTGACTTCTGAAATCGACGCCTCCTCACTCACCGCTCTCCTTCGCTTTGTGCGCCTCCTCAGCCAGCGTGGCCTGCAGCTCAGTCTGATTGGCTCTCAGGCAGCGGTTCATCTCCTGCTCCTCCATCAGCTCCTGGCTCAGCTTCACCACCCGGCTGTTCAGCTGAGTGCACCTGAGCAGGCAGACACAGAATCAGCTGTACGTTCTCTACACAAACATCTCAAGAGTTGTTTTTAAACAATGGTTCATTCTTTTAGCTTGGCCACTATTTGTCTTTGCTCTTGCTATAGTTTTTCTTTAATCTAACCACAGACCTTTTTACTTGTCAAAACAGCAAAACCACTAATGGAAGTCTTATGTTATATGGTTCCCTGGAAGTGACGCATGCTTGTTCAGTTTTGACTTGTCGAACTGTCTCTCCCCGGGGGGGGAAACTGCTGCACTTGTGTTCAGATATACACAATTACAGGTTATACGACCTTGATTCTATTTTCCAACCAGATCCCGCGTTAAGCGCAATGAAACAAAGTGCTGAGTCAGGCTTTACTTGCTTTTTCTCGATGCTCTGCTTCTCTTTGCCCATTTCTCCAAAGCGTCGCTCTAAGTTATCGCAACGCTCCAGGGTCTCCTTAAATTTAACCTTCATGTTGGTTATCTGAAAGACACAGAGTGATCAGACGTGGACAGAAATCAGCAATATAACAGCATTAAACCTTTTCAGAGTCCTTTCAAAGGCTTATAGCCTGTCCGTACCTCCTCTGTTGTCTCCTTCTCCAGATGAACGATCTTATTCTCCCAGTAGATCCTCTGAGACTCCAGTTGACTCGTCAGCAGGTACGAGTACTGCAGACACCGAGGACGAGTTAGAGCCTTTCTGTGCTCATTAAGTAAACAAAGCAACACAAACAATATGTGTACCTCTAGTTGAAGGGCATCAATCTTCTCAGCGTGGCAGGTGTCTCCCTCACACTCGTACTGCACCATCTTCCCGTCTGTCTTACTGGCCACCAGCCGATGCACGTAGTTATCTAAAAGCACAAAAGGTCCCCACAGGAAGTGAGATAAAGTAGCAAAATCTACAAATATCAATTTAATCAAGTAAAATGTTTTATATTATTGTAAACCAATTCGCTTTGCAATCTGAGTACATCACATTTTACTTTTGGAAATTAGAAGGGTAATTTGTCACTTTAGACTTTTTATAGACATATTTTAAAAGGAAAAAATAATCAATTGTCCAAAAGAAAACACCCTGCCATCTGGAAGTTATGTTATACCAACCATTGAAGTGAAAAATGATGTTAAAAGAATGTGTTCAGGACAAGTCCGAGTACTTTTCTACTTTTAATTAAGTAAACAATCAGAGCACTTTTCCCACCATGGCATACTCCCCATAAGAACATTATAATGTTGTGACTAACAGGGAATGTCTCTCAACTTGTTTTAGAATAATGCTGAACTCTAGTGGTCAATATGTATTAAAGCAGCTCTGATAGACATACAAGATTGAAGCCAGTAGTTTACTATGACCACACTCAAGAAGCAACATGAGCCAAATTCAGAGACACACACACAAATCTATTACCTCCTGCGTAGTCCCAGACCCGGTGGTTGGTGAGCTGCATAGCGTAGGTATGCTGTGTTTCCTCAAAGTGCTTGTAAGCATGCATGCTGACGTAGCGACCGCAGCCAATGTGCCCGCAGATCAAACAAATCCACAGGTTCTACAGAGAAAAGAGAAATCTGGGTTATAAAACGGGCGAATCAAAAACAAAACTGAAAGAAGATCTAATAGAAAGCTACAATATTCATATCAGTTACCTCCTGCACTCCACACTCAAAGCACTTGTTCTCTTCCACTGGTTCTGGTGTTTGACAGTACCTACACACAGGACACCTGGAAACAGAGCACACACACACACATTCATCAAATTGTGCACAGCAGTTCTTTGTGAAACATGAGAATACATGTAAAGAGGAGGACAAAAACCAACATCACATGAAGCCTGGAGAAACAACTAGTGGACTAAGAATCAGGTGAGAGAGCATGTGATCCTAATTCCTGTATTTACGGGGTTTTACATCAGTACTATAATTACACTGAATCCAATGAACTGTAGAATACACTCAGTAGGGGTGTAACCAACAACGATAAACCTAAAGCAGATGGACAGCACTTTAGTCAAATTCCTTGTAGAAAAGTTAATATAGTTTAAGGGACACAAAACAGCATGTTCCTTTCAGGTGTGTGTGTGTGTGTGTGTGTGTGTGTGTGTGTGTGTGTGTGTGTGTGTGTGTGTGTGTGTGTGTATACAACTTACGAGGCATCTTCCCACCGCTGGAGACACTGGCTGTGAAAGCTGTGGTTGCAGAGAGTGGTGAGGATGCCGTTGACCGACTCGTCCATCCTCTCCAGGCACACGGTGCACTTAGGCAGCTCCGTCAGCTCCATCACTGGCAGACNTTGAAAGCCCAGTGGCGATCTGCTCATCTCTCATCGAAATAATATGCTACCTGGGAGCCGACAGGAAAGTTAAACACACAGATGGCCAGTCCGCCCCTTTGTAGCATATTATTTCGATGAGAGATGAGCAGATCGCCACTGGGCTTTCAACTAAATACACAGCCACGTAAAAACTGCGACATTTGTACAGCTCCTTTACGGGTACTACAATTAGTGAAGTGCTTTCCTCCTTGGTGAAACGATCAGCACTGCACCACGGAGGAAAGCGGCAGAAAGTCACCTGGAGTCAAGGAGAGCGGGGCTGCGTTGCGTGCATGGCTTCCTTCTGCAGGTAACGGGGAGACGCGCTCTGGCGGCGGTCTCGTTCAGGATCCGAAAATACAATTTAAATATTTTGGACACTTATTCCTAGTGTGCCACTGGTTACGGTGCCGCGTGCCAATGCTGGCACGCGTGCCAGGGGTTGCCGACCCCTGCACTAGACGGATCCTTTCTAGCCATAACCGTATAATGCCACCCGAAGTCCCCGGCCGGAAGTCCCCGGAGTTGGGGACTGGTTTACCAGCAGCTTCTACTGAAGCCTTCCGAGTAAATCGCCAGAACGCCGACACCTCCTCATCACTCCACCGCTCCCATGTTTTTTTTTGTGTTGCCATAAGTTAGTCTCTCTCCGTTGGTGCACTGGGCTAATGCTAATGCTAATAATGCTAGTGTCTGCAAATACAATGGCGGCTTCACAAAACTTTTCAGAGTTTTACGGGGCGTGGTTTGCAATTCGCCCAGCCAATCAGAAATTGGAACTTTTTTCTCCCCAGGAAAGTACCACCTCTCTAGCAGGCACTAAAAAGGGGGTAAAAGTTCTCATGAACTAAGTTCTCTTTTTGGTGTGAACGTAAAATCCCAGGCACTATCGGANATTTTGTTTCGTGAATTTCTCTCGGCCGAAGCTCCTAAAATACAACATCAGTGCGCTTTTGACATTCAAAGCTCCAGCTCCTCACGTGTCTTCCTTCCTGAGTTCGCGTCGTCATTACTTCTCTTTCCACTCACACTTGTACTTGCTACCACCAGCCAATGTCACCGCCACAATCAGCCTTGCTTGCTAGTTTATAATTGTTTCTCATTGAAGTAGTATGTTCCTCTATCCTATATATTACGAATTCGAATGATGTCTTACCGTCAGAATTCTTGCAAGAAGGTCATTTTAGTAAATGCCTTTATCATGTTCATGCTCGTGACTTTTCAACGCATCAGATTCCTCGCTCATCATCCTCTTGCGACGGAATAACTTTCTTTTACATATTTATGATCGTCTTTTTTGTGACTGCACATTTCGTTGTCACAGTGTATTTGTCTACTCTATATTGAATCTTATCTATAATGATAAGTGTATGTCTCGAGTTGTTGTGACTCCACTTGTCTTTGTCACATGGTCGCATCGACTACCGTGCGCGACGATCTCCACTGACGGGTTGCCACTGAAGAATGAATCTGGTCCGGCAGCTGTTTGCGAGGGGAGTCAGGACGTGGCCCTGCGGCCTTAGTGTCGTGTGACAGCCTCAGAACCCTCGGACCTCCTCTGCTTCAGCCTGAGCAGCCACACTTAGCTTCACTGTCCGCTCCGCTGCACACCTGAACGCTGCCTTCTCATCTCTCTTCTATCTGATGGACTGATTCAGTGGTTTCGCAAACATTATTTGCTCGATGTTTTTAAAAAGTAAAGCTGCTCGTTTACATCTATATTTCCATGCTTTCTGACCTCTAGTCTAACTGCCGTCGGCTCCTCAGCTTAGAGCCTACTTAAGATAACTCAAAAACACCTCACACAATATATCTGTTTTCATTTGTACTCACCTATAGGGGCTCTTTGTTGTCGATTTTAGTAAAGGCTTTGCTTTACTCTGAAAGATTATTTAATTTACAGCCGCACAACTCACATATGCTACCTCTCCACACATTATTAAACATTTGTACGTGAGAAAATAGATTCAAAAGAAAGAAAAAATATACATGTGAACAGATACACAAGCAAATGTAGTTCAAAGTCTATTATATTTAGACAACAATGGAGCTCTATGGGGCAGAGAAAGAAGGTAATAGAAAGAATAACATATATTTCCAGCCTTCACCACAAATAGCTAGTTTGAAGAAAGAACTCTAATCCGATAATGTTACTGACTGACGGAACAGCTAAGATGTTGATGATTACAGAGAACTCTCTTACCTTCGACTGGGTTCAAATGCTTTCTCATACACCATGTCCCGCCAATGGGCTCTGCTGGCTCGATGTGCTGGTGCAAGTAAAACAGCGGTTCTTTCCAGATCGTCTTTCCACTCAAGAGTNAAGAGAACTTAGTTCATGAGAACTTTTACCCCCTTTTTAGTGCCTGCTAGAGAGGTGGTACTTTCCTGGGGAGAAAAAAGTTCCAATTTCTGATTGGCTGGGCGCAGCCAATCAGAAATTGGAACTTTTTTCTCCCCAGGAAAGTACCACCTCTCTAGCAGGCACTAAAAAGGGGGTAAAAGTTCTCATGAACTAAGTTCTCTTTTTGGTGTGAACGTAAAATCCCAGGCACTATCGGAACTAAACGGGAAAAGTACTCCGGTGTTAAAGCGCCTCTTGTGGTTGTGCAGTAAAAGTAGCACAAAAGGGACATACTCAAATTACGATACATTCCTCTATTGTTTTTTTTTTTATTGTAATTAAAAAAAACCTTGTGTTTCTATTCACTCTCAACATAATAACATCATTACAGTATTTATAGAAGTTTTTTAATAATATTTGAATATGCTTGTTTCAGTTAAAGGAAAATATTGAAAGCACTTCGCAAATAAATCACCTACCAAAATAACCACTTTTCTATCATAATAATATTAGAAAAGTATTCAAGCAACAACAAGAAAATTAAATAGTAATTGTACATAATTTAACCAAAACAATGCGCTTAAAGACACTAAAATGCCTAGTTATTTATACCTGCTTTATGTCGTCTTTTCTCTGCAGATGAGTGACCAAGAGAGCAGCACGTCCACCTCTCAGACGGAGGGAGAGGTGGAGGGAGAGCTGGATGAAGAGGTGGACACAGAGATGGAGGGTGAAGGAGAACACGATTCAAAACACAGGGACAGTCCGCCTCTCCAAATATCCAGCTTCTCCTCCACTCTGCGTGCCGTCATTCGGATCAAACAGAAGTACCATGCCTTGAAGAAGAGGCGTCAGGAGGCGGAGGGGGACGGGGCCCTCACAGGGGCCACAGGGAGGACCAGCCCCAAAATCTTCACCTTCGACGGAACAACCCCTATCGCCTTGTCCGTCCCCCAGAAGAAGAAGAGGAAAAGGAGGAGACGGGTGATGTATCCCAACAGAGGGAAGCGCCGGGCCCTCCCAAAACCGGCGCGCAGCCGAGCCAAATACTGCCTCTACCTGCTCTTCGCCATCGTCTTCGTCCAGGTAAAGGAGCTTAGTACAGACCTCATTTAAATAGCGAAAATATGGGATTTGTATGATAATCAACAATGTAAATTATTACTTTACATTCCTAATTGGCACAGGGTTAGGGGCCCACATTGTGAGGGGCCAACAAAAAGTCACCCAGAGACACAAACGGACCAGGGAGACACTCATAATGACCACAAAAGACTACAAAGGGACTCAAATAACTACAAAGAGACACAAAATAACTATGAAGATACACAACATAACTAAAAAGGGGTGCAAAAGATTACAAACACATGACAAATACCACAACAATTTGCATAATGACTAGAAGGACACACAAAACAACTGCAAACATGTACAAAACGACCAAAATAACATGTTAAACAACTACAAAGACTAAAAAAGAGACAAAGAAATGCAAAACTACCGCATGACTATCCCTAGGTGTAAAAATGTTTACATGCTCCGTCGTGTCAGCGTTTATTCTCACTACAATATCAGGTCAAACGTGACTCATGCATCGTTACCTATCTTGCAGCAGTCAAGTCCCTCTGAAGTGATTTCCCACAGCGCATTCATTCCTTTGTGAGTCATCCTGCCGTGACGGTTTCTGACTGTTTTTTTTATCATGTGTATCTACCATTACTAATAGTTTATTTTGCAGTATCCAACACAAACATTTAGAATTGGTGTGTTTCCTGTTGCTGATGTCAGCTGAGCGGAAACAAACTTAGCCGTAGCTTTTAGAAACGACCGTAACAGATAACAAGGGCTGATTTGTAAAAAGTTAAACAAGTGGACATGGCGTATCATTAGATGAGCATCCTAAATTATCTCTCTACTGCCTGAATTTACATTTTCAGTTAAAAAAGTTGCAGTTTGAATGTCATCCAAGTATTGCATCTTTTGCTCTTAATATGTAACGGTTAAAAGTCCATTGTGTGATATTAAAGGTCACCTATTATGCAAAATGCTTTTTTTGATGTATTTTATACATAAATATGTGTCCCCGGTGTGTAAGGAGACTCACAAAGTGTCAGAAAATACAACCCTCTCTCTTTTCCTCCTTACCCACATCTCTAAAAACGGGGGTATAACGGAGCTGATCCAGATTTGCTGCGGACTTGACGTCATATCTGAAATGCGTGACGTTTTTTGGAAGTAATATGGTCTGTATTTACATTAGCAAGCATCGCTAACACTCAGAGCTAACAGTGTAGTGGAGAGAGTATGTGTAAAGAAGCCGGATATAAAAGGTACTGTCCTTACGGTAAACCCGCGCGAGAAAAAGCATTTGAGCTCCTTACTGTTTCAGAAATAATGCTTGATGTGGTTTGGAACATATTATGGCGTTAAATCACGGTAGCGTTTAGCTGAGTTTCTGCCGGTAGACAGCCTTCTCTTCACAGAGCTCACCGCTTGCATGGCTCCAAAAGGGCGTGGCCAGCAGCAGCTCGGTTACATTTAAAGGGACAGACCCAGAATCAGCACTTTTGTAACAGGGCTGAAATAGAGGTGTATGAGGCATGCTACAATGGGTGATCTGTTTGGTATTTTGAGCAAAAAGATTCAGAGACATGTTTTGTATAGATATGGCACTATAATATATTGTTCAAATTTAGTAAAATATGGGACCTTTAAGGGGGACCTATTATCAGTAATTTAATATTAACATCTCGTTTTTATCCAGGTGTACAACGCTATAGAGAACCTCGACGACCACCTTCTCAGGTACGACCTGGAGGGGCTGGACAAGACGCTGAGGAGGGAGGTGTTCGGGCAGCAGGGAGCGGTGGAGGGTCTGCTGTCCCACCTGAAGGAATACCTGTCCACCTACGTCCACAACAAGCCCCTGGTGCTGTCCCTGCACGGCCCCAGCGGAGTGGGAAAAAGCCACCTGGGACGCCTCCTGGCGGGACATTTCCGCTCAGTGGTGGGGGAGACGCTGGTGCTTCAGTACTACGTCCTCCACCACTGCCCCCAGGAGGCAGACGCCCTGCAGTGCGCCCGAGACCTCTCTGCTCTGATCTCGGAGATTGTGGAACGAGCCGAGGAGGAGGAGAAGATCCCGCTCTTCATCTTCGACGAGGCCGAGCACATGCACGGAGAGATCCTGGACGCGCTGCTGCAACTCGTGTCGTCCGAACAAACCAACGAGTATCTGAACGCTATCTACCTGTTCCTGAGCAACCTGGGGCACTCACACATCACCAAACATATGCTGCACAACTCCTCCAGTACTTCTATGGCGAAATCCGGTCGTTATAGTCACTTTGTAAAAGAGCTGACTCCGATTTTACGTAACACTCTGGAGAAGCTTCACGTGCTGTGGACCGAGGCGGACATCTTACCTTTGGGCCTTTTGGAGAAAGGTCAAGTGATGGAGTGCTTCCTGGATGAAATGACTCGAGAGGGCTTCTACCCGGATCATACCAACATAGAGCGCCTAGCGGGGGAGATTGAATACTACCCCGAGGTAGGGGGACATGAGTACTCCCAGACAGGATGCAAGCAAGTGGTAGCAAAGGTCAACCTGCTGTGAAATGCTCTGCATCTTGGATGTTTCACATTCTTGAAAGCATGAAGAAAATGTGCATGATATGTGGGTGAGGTCTAAGGGTTATGAAACTTGAATGGCAAAATCACAGCTTTCGAGAAAATCGCAAAGGGTGTTGAAGATGTTCCCCTCTGTTGTGGGAAATGTGGCGTGAATCCTGTGAAGAGGTTTGAAAACGCGCGGTCACATACAGTAAACAGTCCTCAGAGGGTCAGTTCACCGTGAGAAAAAGCTGGTTTTGACTGAATGAATGTCAGCTCTCACATGTAGTTCGGACATTAATATACCCCTTAGAATTAATCGTTATAACTTTTATGCTCCCTTACTTTTCTTCTAATGCCATCATCAGATGCAAAGTTTACTTTACAAATATTTTTGCAAATGCATTGACGTTTCCATCAGAGCAACTGTACTTGGTGGTCTTACTTCCAATATTCAAAATGATCACGGCAAATGAAGTTTCACTGATTTCCAGTATAATGAAGTTAAGGCAGACATCTAAGAGAAGCATTTTCAAAAACCTGAAACAAACATTTCCCTAGAGGTAATTGAAAATGACTTCTTTATTATGTGGGAACTGACCCTTTGCATATGTCACAACTACATGTTAGGCAGCTCAGACCGACATTGGACACAAGCAATATTCATTCATGTAATAAAGTGAAGTTCAGATATTTATAGTGCAGTTACTAACACACATTGTTAGTCAATAAGAAGTTGCTTTTTTGTCAGAAATGTCTTACGTGATGCAGCATGACTTTTATTAATGCTAGTGCAAGTCTGTGGATAGTCTTATTTAGTCCACATTGTAGATTTACTTAAATAATGTGAATTTAAGTAACTCATTCTGACTTTGACCTGCAGAAGAAGAATATCTGCTTTGTTTTAGAATACCTGACACATTTATTTATTAAAGATAGTTTTGCATGGGTATGCTACATGTTCACATCCAGAGATATTGACATAAGGTCAACACAGACTTGCACTAGGATTATGTTTTATTGACCTAATGAAAGTTATCGAGTCAAGAGTATGTTAATATCCTGTATTCAGGTATCCTACAGTCGAAATGTAAACTTAATTGTGTTTCAAATTAAAAAGACACCATTTAAACAGCTGTGAGATTGTTCTTTAAAAGCAAAACATGGATAAAAGCAAAATATGGCTCTTAAATAATGAAAGATTACGAGTTAAAAACAACAGCAAAAATAATAGTCTACGCTTATTGATGAAGCAATAATTACAACAACTTTCAGATAGTGTTTTTTCATGATTAGAATTCCTTTAATTGACATTGGAAAAAAATGAGGTACTGTGTCTAAGTCACAAAGAAAAGTAAGCCTTATGACAACACAATAAGATGGAAACAAAAAAACACACATTTTGGTTGCAGAAAGGATAAAAGGAAAGTCATTTAGGACAACCTCTTGAATAACCCTATGCAGTGTTTTGACCGAGTCCCTCTGAGGACAATCAGCTGTATTTTATGTACAGATCTGAGGAGTGTTTTCGAGGAGAGAGCACTGACGGCAATGGGTCCTCGAGCAACATGAGGAAACAGCTGGAAGTTGAGTTAAGACGAGTAGTTACCAGCAGATGCTAAATATCCAGCCTCTTTGTGAACGGCTGAGACAGATAGATGAAAACAATATTGTAGAAATGCAAACTAACTACATACGCTACTATAAGATTCCACTACATTGATTTCACCTACCAAAAGTCACAAAGGATTTGAAAGATAATTCATGAGCACCTTTCTTTGTTTTAGTTTTTAATATCTTTCATTACCTCTCAATAATATTTCACTCATATGTTCATGAAATGTGTTTAAACATTTATATGGATAATAGTCCACAGACAACACAGCCAAAGGTGCTTAAAATAAAAAATAAACAGACACTCAGCACCCTTTTTTTGACCAAGCGAATAAGCTTTCAGCTCTGCATCCACGTTTTTCATTCTTACATGCTTTCAGGAGGGAAGGAAACAACTGAATACAGAAGCTAAACATTAACGCCAACAGTTACTCCTTTCAGAGACCTACAGGGAAATAAATAGTGTCACTTCAATGACCGTAAAACTGTACGCCGTCAGTTTCGGGAACAACAACCTCACAGCTCCTCTCAGGGTGTTTAAGCATGGTGCTGAGACTCCACTATTACTGTCAGATACGGGGGGGGGGGGGGGGGGTGGGGAGGGGAGGAAGCGTGAGGGAGAGCCCAGAGAGAAGCTACATGACAGTGGTGGACTGTGAAAGGGGGGAGGGGTGTGTGTAGTGATGAGGTTCAGGGGTTTGTTTCCTTCTCTGTTCTCCCCTCTATGCCTCCAGCTCGAAGCCCATGCCCACTTTGTGTCCGCCGGCGTTGAAGTTCTTCCCGTCGATCAGAGCGGAGAGGGTGACCTTCACACCTGCACACACACAAACGTAAGACTTTAAGATGTTTTTACGAACAATTACGATGCAGTATAATATCTGTTTGCCTACTGGGTTTTACTGTCAAATACTTAGATATTTAACTTTAGCAAAAGTAGCAATACCACATTGTAAAATCCTGCTATAAGTCAAAAAGTTAAAAGTACAAAAGTATTAGCATCAACATATATTTGAAGTACTGATCTTGCAGAATAGTCCTTTTCATGAAAGTTTACTATATTTTATTATTGGATTATTTATATGAATGCATTTATACGTACAGCACTTTTATGCATCCATGTATTGATTACTTTCATCCTTCTTGGTATCTTAAGAATATATATAAATTACATTTTAACATTAATAAAGCCTTTTAATATCAATGAATAATATCATAATGTATCTATTGAGAATAAATGTATTGTTTATCAGGAAAGTCATTTAATTAATGAACTATTAATTGGTACCCTCTGAAATGTAGTGGAACATTGTACTTGAATCATTTATTTTAATGAATTCCCATCAATGACAAAGTATGTGTAAAATGAGCTACTCAAAGACATCACCATGGAAAACTAGGATGACATTTGACACTACTTTCTGACCCTTTTTTATAGAGCAAAGAGAATAACTTGTAAAATAGTTTGGAAAGTAATCAAATATGTCATGAAATATAGAGACAGCCCTACAAAGCTACAGGGTCAACCCTTCTCTTATCTCAGATATTTTAGGTAAATATTGAAGTGTGTTACCTGGCCGAAGGCTCTGGGTGTAGCCCACTCCGATCAGACTGGCATTGTTGACTTTGGCCTGCGGGGGGGGGGGGGGAAACATGATGAGTCATGAAACAGAACAGCACATTTGTTTGGGCTCATTTATCTTTCACAACAGAGCTGTGACCCAGCACTCACAGACAGAGAGGCGTCTTTGTCCAGCTTGTATTTGGCGGCGATGCCGAAGCGAGTGTTGTTGCTGCCGGCGGTCCAGGCCAGAGTGACCGCTGTCTCCAGGTCGTCGTTCACCTTCTGGTAGATGGAGCCGCCGAACTCCGTCCCGTCGTTACTGAGAGACGAGATCCAGAGACGGATAGTGAGATTTGTTCAGAGTGTAATCCTGCAGACCCCTAACTCATCTGGAACGTTAGAGTTTGTAATCTTGGCTATCATATGTCATACAGTGGTGCAGAATTTTAAATGAGCACTGATGTTGCACTCATCTACGAAAAGGAGCTGGAACATATTTCTACAAACTATTACTCGTTTTTTAAAGAAGTTCTTGATTTCCTTTTTGTGAATGATCATTTACTTTATTTTCATAGTGATTAAATCCGCTCGTCTTTGGTTGCCTTGACCTTTTTACAATTGTTAGACATCGATTTGTTTTAACCATAAAAAAGGGAGGACAAATACTAACTATTACTACTTAAAAAATATCTTTCACAATCGAGGCAGCATCCAAAATACTTCATCCTACATTTCCTACAACGTAACTTATTATAAGTCTTTCAAAGATGTTTGTCATGAATGCTTTCTGCAAAAGGTGTGTCTCCTAAGCTAAAGAACAGATGAGGATGAATGTGAGGTGTAGCCTCCGGGAGTACTCACACGTTGGTGTGCAGCTGGAAGTCTCCGGCCTTGTATCCCAGGGCGAAGTTGTTCTGGGCCAGTTTGGACTTGGCCGTGTCGAAGGCCATCTGGTAGCCGGCCAGCCAGCCCTCGTAGCCGAGCACCGCTGCGGCGTGGATGATGGGACCCTCGAAGTCCACGTCACAGCCCATGTTCACAAACTCACGCTTGTAGGCCGTCTTCAGCTTTCCACTCTTCTTACTGAAACA